CCAGATGCTATACTTTTTGATAGCTGGGCACCATCAGCTTTCTTCGCCACATTTGCTTATGCACCCATTTGTCTCCAGTGATCATGTCCAAAGTACATGAGACAAAATCTCATCCTTACCTCTCGGCACTCTGACTGCACTTCTTCCAAGGCAGATTTGTTTGTTCTTTTGGCAATCCATGGAACTTTCATTATTCCTTGCCAGCACTATAATTCAAATGCACCAATTCTCCTAAGGTCTTTCTTCTTCCATGTCCAACTTTCACATACATATGAGATGATTGAGAATACCATGGCGTGGTCAGGTCCTCAAAGTGACACCCTTGTTCTTCAACACTAACGAGGTCTTAGGCAGTATTTACCCAATGTACAGCATTCTCTGCTGTTTCCATGAACATTGATTGTGGACCCAAGCAAGACAAAATCCGGTGCATGCTTCCTTTTGATGCATCATTCAATATTCTGCCCATAACTCACTTCTCTCAACTCACTGCTGACTCAGTGGCCCCCTGTGGGTTTCCAAGACTAACTGTTGACAAGAGTAGAAAGCCCAGTCTTTTCTCCCACATAGAATCTTTTAAATCCAACTCAGGGCTCGGTTTTTTTCTTTAGTTCTTTTGGTTAAAATTCTTCTTTCATGTTTTTCTAACTCTAGTTCTTTGTACATTTCATCAGATTTTACTTTGTCTTCTTGAATTGCCCTTTGATATTTTCTGTTCAGCTCTTTGACATCGTCATTTTGACCTCTTATTTTTCTTTCCTATCTTCTAAAAAAATCATTTTATTGTCATAATTAACATCATACAATTCAATCGTTCAATCATATTAGGAAGGGTTGTGCGATCATCCTCACAATTAACTTCAGAGCATTTCCTTTCTTGTACTCATTGGCGTTGATTTCTTTCCCATCTGTTTAGTGACCTTTTGCCTTCTTCATGTATGATGCTCTTGATGTCATCCAACAACCCATCATCAGGTCTCTGTCACAGTGTTCAGTGGGCCATATCCATTCTCGTGGACTTGTTTTCATTTTCTTCAGCTTCCACCTGAGCTTACATACGAGCAATTGGTAATCTGTTCCACACTCAGCCCCTGGCCTCCTGATAGCAGCTAATACTGAGTTCTCCATTATCTCTTCCCACAGATGGAGTTAATTTGACATCTGGTATTCTTTCTGGGAAAGTCCACGTGAATGGACTGTGTTGTTCAAAAAAGGGTTTTGTGATTAAGTGTAAAATTCTATCATGCAATCTACAGCATCCTTTCTGTCAAAAAGGCCATATTTTCCAACTTTTGCATTCCAATCATCAGTAGTTATCACTGCATCTTGTTTGCAGGTTAGGGCAATTTCAGACTGCAGGCATTGGTAGAGTTCCCCAAGTTCTGCATCAGGAGCTGCGATCATAGTGTTAATATATCACTCACCACTAAATGTGCTGTACTAAGGGGCTTATTTTTCAATATAAGAAAAAGATTCAAAATAAATTATAATTTATATGGCTATTTTGTATATTTTTAGCAAGTTATTTGGAAACACTTCTAAACGAAGGAAAATGAAAACAAATGTCTATAATAGCCTTTATTGATTATACCCCACCCCCAACCCCCGCACTGCCCAATTTAGTTTTGCGGTTTTTTTATTGTCGTTTCGGTAACCTGAAATGATCTAAATGCCATCCAACCCGTTTATCAATGAATCTGGCCTTTGAATCATGTGGAGTTGCATTGGCCCTGCTTAATCATTTCCTGGAGTGGGGCAGGATTGGCCCTTGTTTGGTCGTGCCACCAATTTATATTGCCTTAGGGTAACATCTCTTCTCACAGGAGAAAAACCCACGAGCCTTCCCTAAAATACTAATTGTAGGTTCCGGGAACCCAAGAGGCAAGCAAATTTTGGGAATAATGAAGGCAACAAATGTATAGATGTGCTTTACACAATTGATCTATGTATTGTGATGAATTGTATGAGCCCCAATAAATTGATTTTTTTTAAAAAAACTAATTGTAGGAATTCTGAAGTATCGCAGACATAGCTATTAGAGAAGACAGTTCCTTGCTTAGAGAGGAGTCCATGTATAATGGACCCTCCAGACTACCGTTTTGTAAACACTTAAGCAACATTTTCTTGTAATTGAGGTCTTTGAGGAGACTAGCGTGAGAGCGTGTGAGTTGGGGTCTCTGATTATTGTTATCATCTTCCCCGAAGTCAATAATGTGCTGGTAAAGGTTTCAACACCTGGTTCCCTACAAAGATGGAGAAAGGGAGGCCCTGCCTCACAGCACATGCCTATTTGCATGGTGTAAATACTGCCACCATTACCGTGACAGTCATGAGAGTGTAATGACAGGCAGGATTATTATAAAAAGATGCTTAAGCGCCACTGTTAGAGAGTATTTCTACCATACATATACAATAGATGTACGCAATCTCAAGAACACAATAGTAAAATGAAGCGATGATGTGTTTTGAGTACCTAGTATCTTTAACATAAGAAAGTTCATCATGTTCTTAATTGCCTTTAAGTCAACTCTGCTTCTGTCGACCCCATACAGAAAACACTCTGCCATCCCCATGGTCACTTGCTGCTCAGGCCATTGCACTCCACAGAGCTTCCATTGCTGATGATCTCATCAGGTCAGACTTTTTAGTCTGGAAGCTCCTCTGGCACCTTTTCAGCACCCACGCAGCTGCACATGATGTGCACAACACCACCAGAACCTCACGTAGCCCACTCCTCATTGTCAAATGGCTCCCGATTGATTCATAGAGATCCTGTAGGAATGAGAAGAACTGCCTCATAAGGTTTCCAAGACAATCTTTCCAGTGGCAGGTAGATTGGAATCGCTGACCTTCCACTCTGCATCCCAATGCTCACTGTACCGTCCTTAAGCGTTACACCTCATATAATCATAAATTTATACAATTTACTCTAATGGTAGTTATGTTTGTAAGTCTCTCATAAGTCAATGGAAGCAATTCCAACACAGCACTGCTTTTGGATCTGCTCTTGCCTGAATTAGACTTACTGAGAAGTCCAGGAACGTTGATCCATCCAAGCTCTCGGTAATTCTTACTCCTAGATTGGTTTTGCAAATAAAATGAAAATTTAGCTCAAATTAAGTACACCTCGAATCAAGTTACAAGTGACCCAAGAACAACTTTTATTTTATAAGCCATACTATAATTATCTCCATAACCTTTAAGTAAATCATGATGTTTAAGAGACAGTGCCCATCTTATTCTTTGTGTATTGTCTATTTTTAAATCTCACAAGTAATGTTGTTCATTGTTGGGAGCTGCTGACACAGCAACCCCATGGACAGCAGAACAGACACTGTCTGGCCCTGCGCCATCCTCCCAGTTGTTATGGTTGAACCCTTGGTCTCAACCACTTTGTCAGTCCATCTCTTTGAGCATCTTCGTCAAGTAATACCTGTCTCATTTTCATAGGGCTCTAGGAATTTTAAAGTCTCCTGCTGGGTTTCACAATTGTCTGGGGCCAGTTACCGAAATTCCATTCTGAAGTTGGGCATGGACCAAGGCTCTAAAGGTAGACTGATTATAGCTCTTTCTCGGCTGTTTGCCTCATCATTAGTCTAATTTTTAAAAAATGCTTGGCCTGTCTCAAAAGTAGATAGTATTAAAAAACATTTTTTTAATTAAAAAAAAAGTAGATGGTATTACCCTTAACTTTATCAATCAAGGTTCTCTCTAAAGGATTAGAAAAGGAAATGAGTACAGTTGCCGTCTGGGGTGCTTATGTGTCTAAATGGGTTTCATGGCACACAACAACAACAACAACTGATAAATGTCATCTTGATATTGCATTCCAGTCACACACACATACCTCAAAGATTATTATCAGATTTGCAATTCAAATGTTCTTAATTTTTATTAGAGTGGTTCTTACAGCTTGGATGGTTATTATTGTTGTGTGTTATCCAGGCCATACAACATTTTTCAGTTTATGTGGGATTATTTAGAGCAGTGGTTCTCAACCTTCCTAATGCCGTGACCCTTTAATACAGTTCCTCGTGTGGTGGTGACCCCAACCATAAAATTATTTTTGTTACTTCATAACTGTAATTATGCTACTGTAATGAGTTGGGCGACCCCTGTGAAGGGGTCATTTGATCCCCAAAGGGGTCCAGACCCACAGGTTGAGAAACCGCTGATTTAGGGACTCTGGTGGAATTGGGATAAACCTTCAGCTGCTAATCTCAAGGTAGGCAGTTCAAACCCAGCAAG